CCCTTCGGCTAATTCCCGGCATGTCCTCCGGCCCCCATGCAAAGACAGTGGAGTAGGCGCGGAGGGCGTCGGTGATACCGGTCTTTAGATCTTCAGGGAGCTGGGCTCCAATCTTCACGACTCTCTCCGGCTGGGCCGGATCGAGCGCAAAGTCTTCTACATCCTCGGCCGGTTCAGCCCTCGGCCTTTTTTCTTCTTGGTCGATGGTTCCGGTGATGGTGCCAACACGGAATTCCGTCTTGCTTACCTTCTTAGTGACTTGAAGATAGCAGGCGCGGGCGATTTTCTGATTCCCCCGGGAGTAGCCAATGCCCCCCTCGGCGGGAAACTTGAGGCAGAGGTGCCTCATGGAGATGATGGCCTCGAGGTCCTCGAGGGCTGGCTGGCCGAGGATGATGTTGTGGGCACAGTCGATGTTGACGACGACGAACTCCACTTCGAGCTGGGCTCTATGGAGCCCGTCGCCGAAGATCACCGGGAGGGTTATTACCCCCTCGGAATCAATAGTATCGCCGGTGAAGCCGGCAAGAGGGGTCTTAATGGGCCGAAGGGACCCCCTCTCCAGATGCAGTTCTCTGAAAGTGCTGAGGTACATTACATTGACGGAACTGCCCGTGTCAATGTAAGTTCGGTGAATGATGGTGTCGTTTATTTCAGTCCGAATCACCAAGGCATCCCTGTGAGGAGAAGAAGTAGGGGGGAGATCTGCGTTGGTGAAGGTGATGGGTTCCTCCCTCAGTCGCTTTACCGGGGGCATATGAGTGACTACCCCCACGTAAAGCGATTGAGCCCACTTCTTTCGCTAGCTGGTGGAATCGCCCCCTGTATTGCCACCGGTGATCATGAGGATGTGGCGTTTTTTCTCCTGGTAGTGGGGGTACTCCTCCTCTTCCTCCTCCAAGTTTCCGATCTCCCTCTTCTTGCCGAGGGGGATGGTTTTCGGGTTCACCCAGGCGTTTACCTTCGTGTGGTGCCCTCGGGGAGGTCCCTGATGAGAAGGCCCCTCCCGCCGAGGGCTCTGGACAAATTGGGACAGGTGCCCCGCCTGTATCAATCTCTCGATGGCCGTTTTTAGCTGATGGCAGTCATCGGTTCTGTGGCCCTGGTGCCGATGGAAACGATAGTAGGGGAACTGAGGGTTGATAGCATGTACCTCCGGGGGTGCGCGAGAATCACGCTCAACGAGGCCCCTCTCCTCGGCAAAATCAAGGATGACGCTGACGGGATGCGTCAATGGTGTCCGAGGGCGGTCCAGGAGAATGGGCTGTGCCCAAGTCTTAGGGCTGCTCTTATAACCTCCCCCGGGTTTGGCTTGACCTTGCCGAGGGCGGTCATCAGAGGGTCCTGAAGCCTTTGGATGATTAGGAGGAGCCCCGGCCCTCGGTTATGCTTGTTGTCAGCCCTCGGGGGTTGCTGATCCGGATGCTGGTGATATTTCTCCACCTCCTCGGCCTCAGCATATCGGTCCCCCCGCTGCAAAGCCCTTATGTAGTCGCGGGGGGTTCAATGATGAGGCTCCTTGAAAAGTTGTCGGTGCGGAGGACGGTTTAAAGGAGGGCCAGGAGGGTCCCGTCATCAGCACCGTCGACTTTGTCGGCCTCCGTCCTCCAGCGCTCTAGGAAGTCCCGAAGGGTCACATCCCTCTTCTGGCGTATGGTTAGGAGGTGGGAGAAGTGCTTCCTTGTGCGACGCCTCCCGACAAATTGTGTCAAGAATCGTTGGGCGAGTTCTTGCCACGAATCAATGCAGCCCTCGGGCAACCGGTTGAACCATTCGTATGCCGGCCCCTCTAAGGTGGAGAGGAACCAACGACACAAATATTCGTCCGACGCCCCTACCATCATCATGCTGTTTTGATATTTGCTGTAGTGTTCATGGGGGTCCGTCTTCCCGTTATAGGGCTGTATGTGTTGCCCTCATATTTTTCCGGGATCCGGGCCGCCAGTACCCTTGGGGTAAAAGGCGTCCGGGTCCGGAGCTGGATGACGGGTTCCCCGGAGCCCTCGACCACCTTTTTCTGTAATTCCTCCATTTTGGCCATCATGGCCTCGTATTTGAGATCTGAATGAGGGGTGGAGGTGGTGGCGTGAGCTTTGTTGGCCTCCATTTCGTCAAGTCGGCGTTGGAGGGCCGCAATAATCTTGTCCCGGGGATCCTTCGAGAGGGTCTCCGCCCCCTGCGAACGAACCCGGGCCGAGTGGGCCTGGTCGATCTGGTGGCGAGCATCATCGGCATGAAGGGGTGCCTTGCCTTTGTCCCGAGGGGGACGCTCCTCGCCTGCCCTCGAGACAGACCCTCCGCTTTCCTGGGGCCTTTGGAGTGCTTTTCCTCCGAGGTGGTCTTGGACCCCTCGGCGGTCTGGCCCTCCTCCGAGCCGGTTGAGGGCGGAAGTGCGGGGCCTCTCTCTGTTGTTATTGTGGCGGTCCCGGGACTGAACTTCCTGGGAGGACGTATCTTGGGCCACTACCCCTTCGTCATTCCTAACCCGAGGGATGAGGTTTCCGAAGGGGTGTGGCAGGGGGGGAAGTATGATGTTCTCCCCAACTTGGGGTTGAGCCGGAGCCAGAGTGCCGAAGGCACCTGGGTTCTGAGTGAGCGTTTGGATGAAGGCGGAGAGCGCCGATTGAACATCGATGGTGAGGACCGGAGGGCTGACTTGGTCGTCGCTCCGGTTTTTCTTCTTGGCCTCGATGCCGAGGCGGGCATCGGGGGCATTCTGCTGGATCTGAAGGCGTAGGTCGACAGCCGCCTGTTCCAGCCCAGCGATGACACCGCCCTCGGGAGCCCTGTGAGAGGCTTCGGGGGTGATGACGTTGCCGAGGGCCAGGTTCTTGTCTTCCACGTTTTTGGAGTTGGCACGTGTTGTTCTCAACATTTTTGGTAGAGGGCTAGTGTTTGGCGAAGGGGGAGGGTTTCTTACTCGATTTGTTCGACCTCTCAACGAGAGCACCAAATGATGGATGGTCTACCCGGGGGGTATATATCCGAGGGGTTATTGCTGAGAATAACTTAGAGAGAAGTCAGAGTACAAATAAGTAAGAGAGAGTGTGTATTCAGTATCAATGTCGTGGTTACAAATGGGGAAATGGGGTGCTATTTATAGTAGCAATAAATGCCGGACAGGGACACGTGTCAAGCGCCCATTGGCCGAGAGGTCACCTCAACTAGTTGGCGTTGGCAGCCGCATGTGGCCGTATTTAATGCGGCTGTTGGATGGGACGTCTGTACAGGGTACGGCGATCTGTACGCATGTGAGCCGGATATTATGTCGGGAGAGGTGCCCTCGGCTGCAGAGGACTAGCCGAGGGCTCTTAGTGCCGAGGACCGCTGAGTGCCGAGGGCTCCAGGTGCCGAGAGCTACTGTTTTCGCCGTTTTCTCCCAGTTCCTCTGTTTGTTCGAAATATCCATGCTGGGATAGTTTGGAGCCTTCGGCCAGGGGGCCGAAGGCACCCCTGGTGCGTATTGCGGGCTGCTTGGTACTCTGGGCGCCGTGATTTGGGCCTGTTGGGCCTTCTGGGCCTGTTGGGTCTCTACTGGAGTAGTAGGAATTTGTGGGCCGGGTGTTCCCGGGCCATATACTCCATCAAGGGGTAAAAAAAGCAAATTTGAAGAAGAAAAATGATGAAGACACTACTGATTTGCTTAAGTCAGTTAAGAGCGACAATGAGCAACTTATAGAGATGCTGAAGAAATCATCGTTAGATCGACATGAACAATTGCAACTTCAGCGACAAAATATGGCATACAAAGAACAGAAAAGAGAAGATAAAATTATGTTCATGGATTTGAATTCTATTCACGATCCACAAACGCGAGCGTATATCATTGCAGAAAGATCAAGAATTTTACAAAAAAATCTCAAGAAGGAGGATCATCAGTTCGATTTGGGAATCTATTTGATGGACTTGGAGGCTCTGGATGCGGGTTGAATGATTACTAAATTCTAAATTAGTATGTACTATGTATGTTTTTTATTATGTTTTAATTTTTATTATAATGGTGTTATTAATTGTAATTTTAATTATGTTATTTTCTTATGTACTATTTGTTTTCTGTTATTATGTTGTTTGGATTTGAATCTTTATTTATAATATTGTGTGATTTAAATGTTATTATATTATTTTTATCAAATTAATTGTTTTGATTGTTATTGTACAAGGATGTTTTTACTTGGACTGTAATTTGTTTCAGATCAGATCAAACCGGATTAGACCAAACATGGGTGGTTATAAAAATACAAAGAAATCAGACCAGGCCACATCAATTCAGACCAGACCAGACCAAATTAGACCGGACCAACAAATTTCAGTCCAAGTAAAACTTCCTATTTTGTTGTTTTAAACATGGGTCAAAACTATACTATCCTCCGTATCTCATTAATTGCAACATTGTAATATATACAATATTTATGTACTTTACTTTGACTACATTTTATTTATTAATGTATGTGAATTATTTTTTTTGAAAAATGTTGTTAAATTCATCTCATTACTAAGTTTTATAATCTGATTTTTATTTTATTTTTACTAATACAGAATTAAATATAATGACGGTCAAAGTTGTGTGTCGGCAAACGTGAAATGTTGACTGTTGCAACTAAAAAAAGACGGAGGAAGTAATAACCAAAACTTTGGGTCACATTTGAAAGAAAAAAAATTACAAAAAGTTGATGGTGCAACAAATGGCGCACGCCATATATGGCGGAAACCATTCCCCCCTCCCCCATTTTGGTGTAATGGTGTCAAGTTTGGTGCTATTCTTGGAGCATTTTTTTGCCAAATACACCATTTTGGTGTCAAGTTTGGTGCTTGTTGGAGATGACCTTAAGGAAATAAACTTACAAGTGTGTAAATTTTACTGTTTTGACACTGTTTGGCACTGTTTCGACACTGTTTGACAATGTTTTGCACTGTTTGATCCTGTTTTGATGTAGGATAACTTTCCATTTAGGGAAATGGGAACTTTCCAACGGAACATCCAAAAAAAGAAAGCGAGAACATTTCAACGGGACGGATGGTCTTCGTAACATTCATCGATTTTTTTTGGTTATGTACATAAATACTCCGTCGTATATATATATATATATATGATTAATTGTAACTGCACTACATAACCATACTATACCTTTCCTGAGTGAGATGATTTAACACTTTGACATCACCCTCTCAATCAAATAGTATCATCGGAATTTCTGTGATACATATAGACAAAATATGTAAAGGAAAAGAAGAAAAGGAAAATCAATCAGTGACATTGATGAGCTAGGGAAAAGATGATGATGATGGGATTATCATAGCTCCAATAATATTGGACGATGATGTCGTCGTCGGTAAGGATAGTAGTTCTTCATCGTCCCCGCTCGCTCCTTCATCCCAGAACAGATAGCTGCCTGGGCATTGTTGTGCGTCGTCAATGCCCCAGTCGTTCACGCGATTCTCACCTGTCATCTCACGCGCCACCATCGTGTTATCCATTATCAATGGCGGGAAGTAACCGGAATCCATTCCCGCGCTGTCCACCGCTGCCACGTACGGTTCTCGGTCCCACAACGCCGTCGGTAGTGAGTCTTGGTTGCCATTGTCCCCACCGTTAACCCCTTCCGATACCGCATTATTAGTGTCAAATGGGAGAAAAGGATTATGATTAGTATTATTAATAGTATTATTAGGGAATGAGAATAAGGGTTCTTGGAATTGGACAGGCGGCTTTGATGTGAATTTAAGGTTGTTTGTGATGTTAGTAAAAGAAGAAAATTGGAGGGGTTGGTGAGGATGTTGTAGGTCCATAGTAGGGGGTGTGTTTGTTTGAGGTTTTGATAATGTCTGAGTTTTGAGCTTCTTCTTAATCCAAGAATTCCAATAATTCTTAATCTCATTGTCTGTCCTCCCTGGCAAATGACTTGCAATGTGGGCCCATCTGCAGATTAATAATTTAATTCGATAATTAAGATAGTTAGGCATTGATAAGCTAAACATTTCACTAACTAAAAAAGATATCATATGCCCCATGTCCCAAAAGAAGATGTAATATGAAATGATTGATTTGCTATTCCATGTTTCTCACTGTACACTGTCATTTATAGCTGAGTTTTGACACAAATAAGACTAATGGAAATACCATGGACAACAATAAAATTAGTTTCATAAAATATCAAAAAGTGACTAATGTGTCATTTATAACCTCTCAGAGAATCTAAACTAGTGACTTCGGCACCATAGCGACCAACCGTCACGAATGAACCCGGTGTCCGCACAATGACTCTGACAGTCTAGAGACCCTTCACTTGCGTGACCGCAAATTTTAACACGTCGATCCCGTAGGATCCAAACTCGTTACTCTTGGATGCGCTCCCTATCAACCCAATAAATCCTACTAAGATCTCCTCCATGTGTTCTTAAAGAGATTATATTGCCACATTAATAATAAACTATTAAGGTTTAATTTAGGGTGACAAAGAGCTAGTATGCAAATTATTACGAAAAGCTTACAAATGACCGGGGGCGTAGCTAGGATTGAAGGTTGGACTGGGCCGGTACAAAAAAAATTTCTGATAATTTTTTTTTCCCATGAATTTTTAGACTAAAAATACAAAGAATTTTCAAATTTGGAACGGGCCGTGGCCCGGTTGGCCACCCCTCTAGCTCCGCCCCTGCAAATGACATTTGCCTTATTAATATGCAATGTCTAATTGTTGTAAGTAGGTTACGTTGGTGGTTACTAAATTATACTCCGTACTAACAATGACTTTGCATGCTATCTTAATGTTCCTAAATTTATATAACAAATTAAAATGTGTATATTTTTGTTACAATATTTGATTGATGTGAAATGTTTTAAAGGGCCTGGGACCAGTGGTCAATTTTCAATTTTCTAACAACATTTCCTAATAATGAAAATTTAGAATATATATAGAAAACTTAAAAATGCGTACGTAATTTATAAGTGTAGATTAATTAGTCCAAGATGACATGAAACGTGAAACATGAAATGATCAAGTGGGAAAAACATTGCTTTGCTTGAATTAAAGTTGCTCTTGTTGACTTCAATGTACTACAGAGTTACACAAGTTTATTTTGTACTCAATATATAATTGATAACAATAATGTGGTCAGATACACTTGAAATTAAAGCATACGCAACGTATAGTAGTCCAATTTACATCCTTCGTACCGTCCGGTCAGGGTTGAGGAGCACTCAGGGATGGAGTGTCATCCTTTTTTTTATATCTTTTCAAACATTGTGTCAATTGATATGATGTCATTTCTTTGTTACTCCGTATTAATTCAGAGGTATAAATTAAAGGTTCTATAAAATCTCAGATGAAATAATGCCAATAATGTAACTACTATTTAAAACAATTCGAAACACTTCGAGTAATATTAATAAGATAGGAAGTATAGAAAAATATGATAGCAATATTCGCAATAGTTTTTTTTATAGAATATTCACAATTGTAGGTGCTAAAAATGCGTGCGCAATGTATGCGGTTTATTTTTGGAATATTTTTAGTTTGCATCACACTTTTTGGGTGATATTGACTTTGAACTCCATTTTAAATAAACTTTGAGTTTTCATGTCATTTCACTTAAAGTGGGATGCTGGAATGCAAACTCAATTTTTTTTTGAAAATGGGGTGCAAAGTCAAATATCACCACAAACGTGGGGGGCAAAATCAAAATATCCCTTTTTCAAAACCTAATTAAATCTATGTCAACGTAGGTTGTAGCTTTTTCTATTGAAAAACATAGATCTATATGTATTTAATTTACACATGTATTGAACTAATTTTTACAATTATGTTAAAAAGTTATTGAATTAATAACGGTTATTTAGTATATTTGTTTACAGTGACCTGATTATAAAGACCAGCATAACTAAAACTATACGTGAGGCATGTATTATAATAAAGTTATTTAATCTGAAATATATCTGGTAAAATTATGTACATTAAAAAAAACTGGTAAAATTATACTACGTATAAGAATATTTCGACTGTTATATACTGTCGATCACTTTTTTTGTTAAGTTCCTTATGTTATTTTCAGAAAAATTCAAACAAAAACACAATTTGGTAAATTACCGAGCTGAGGCCTCTTTTTGAAGTTTGACTAATTTACTTGATCGAGTCTAACTATGTACTGATAAAATAAAAGAGCAAATAAATGTACTTATATATGGTAATATTACCCATTAGCAATATTAATTATCCGTGTCATATATCATCATATGAAGATATGGATGATATATATGTCTAAGGTACTCCGTATTTAATTTAATTAATACTCTCCCCGTACCATGAAATAGTTCCCGCATTGATTTGGATAAGAGTTTAAGAAAATGAGAATAAAGTGGAAAAATGATGATTGTGGTTGATGAGTAAAAAAAAGATAAATGAATGTGAGCCACAAAAAGGGAAATGAGAACTGTTTTTGGGATGATCCAAAAAGGAAACCGGAAACTATTTTGCGGGACAGAGTTAGTATATCCATCAAGTGATTAACTTCTATTAATTAGTATGTATATATATAACTAATTAGTAACTAACCTGTTGCCAACAACACCATGAAGGCTTATGATCAACTTCTCCTCTTCTGGAGAAAATCTCCCTCTTCTTATATCTGGCCTCAAGTAATTTATCCACCTCAACCTGCAACTCTTCCCACACCTTTGAAGACCTAATTTCATTAATAATGTTAATATCGTAAAATCGCTCCAATCAATTAATAATGCAAGCTGCTAAGGTAGGAACGCATTCCTTGCTTAAAAATCACGGGATTGGCACGAATTTGTTATATATGATATATCCCTACCAAAATTATTCGTGTCAACTTTGGATAATCCCTATCAAAATCCCTACAAATCTCGTGTTTCTTTTTGTATAAAAACCCGACATGAAAGGATCAAAATGTCCGATGAAAAGTCTCTTTTTTAGCAATGGAAGCAAACTAAAACAAGTGTAAAGAAAATGTACAGACCGGCTTTGTCAGGGACATCACTCCAGCAGCCATAGCCATGGGTAGTGATGCATCTTGTGAGCTTTTCATCTTCTTCCGGCGACCAAAGCCCTCTCTTCACTTTTTGCTGGTTGCAACATGAATGCTTCCCCATTTCTTTCTTTCTTAATATGATGATGATCAGAGACTATATTATATATTTTTATTATAAAGTTTCCAGTTCAATTAATTAATATCTTGGGAATTGATATCTTAGGGATCGATCCATTCCCCAGGTTTCTATATATATGGGTTTTATATGTTTTCCATTACTTTCATAGAAACTATACTATATATGGAGTATATACACTAGAAGAAATAATGTGAAATAGCCGACAGAACGTGAGTGATGTGGGCCCCATGTCACAATCGAACCTTAAAATGACTCCCCATCAACTTTTTTAATTGAATTATTTCCATCAAGGTTCTTTCCTTGTATGTATCAAATTGAAAGCAAGCCTACCTAGGGACGCCATAGTAAAGCTCTGATTTTATCTTTTCGTACAATAATTAAGTTTGGATTGGAGTTGTTTAAATCGACTCTTTCCCATTTTGTATAATGTAGTAATCCCTCCCCCAATTTTAGTCACCCATTTTTTATTTTTCTAGTCAAAGATGCTAGTCTTTGATCGACAATATCTTTATCTTACATCTTTCGTGAAAATAAGTAAAAATTTTTCTTTTATGGGTGTCTCAAAAAAAGTTCTCATTTTTATAAAAGGAACCAACTTTTAACCTAAAAGTCATAGCTGTCCTTACTTTTTACCAACTTTTTGCGTGATTTGATATAAAATAAGGGTATATTTGGAAAGCTAAAACAAAACTCCACCTTACATAAATATGTGTGTAGGTCAAACCTGAAACTTAATTTCGAAGAGTACACGAAAGCATGCATTTAGAATATGAAACTAAAATATGAAAGTACGTGAAATGAAAATGTCTTTGCTAAAAATACTACGTACTCCATATAACAAAGTATAAAATCTATAATTTTCACTAAAACATAGATGCATATTATAATGATCAATCAAAATTTATCATCCTTAACTAGAAAAGCAATATATAATTGCTACACTCAATGGTAACCATGGAGTGTATTTTATTACTCCGTATGAGTTATGAGCCAAGTATCTTACTTTCCCTTAAAATCCAACTAATTCAATCCTAATAAAGAATAAAAATAAACACGTGATGCTCTTTTTCAAGAAAAAGCTAGCAATCATGTTTTCAATTTCTAATAATGAAAATCACGCTTGGAGAAATATGTTCTTCATGAAAGTGATACCCGGCCTTAATTAGCTTCCTTCGTACAAAAAGCTAGCTAATTAAGTTCTTTACACACGAGTAAATTATGCATAACACAATTGTTAAATCATGAAACGTTGTACTACTTTAATATTTGGAATTTTATCAATTCAAAACTTGAAAAGTAAATGAATTATCAATCCGAGACCTGAAAGAAGAAATTTATAGATATAAGACTCAAATGATGAAAATATGAATTTTTATTATTTTTATATTAAAATTTTTAAATATTATTTAGTTTCATTAAACTAATAAACTTTTGTGGAAAAAAGTTTATCAAAAATTAGAAAAGAAATTAATAAAAAATAAATAAATCAAAATCTATGAAATCTTAGATCCTAGATTGATAATTTTCATCTTTCGGGTCCTATATTAACACATTTCATCTTTCGGGTACCGAATTTATAATTTATCTATCTTTAAGGTCCTGAATTGATAAAAGTTCTTAATATTTAGATGATGTACATTAACTATGAAATGTTATGCTACTTTAATATTATATACTTACATTTTTTTAATTTTTTATTGGTTAGAGTTACATTAATGTAGGGACCTCATAACTCCGATTTTCTAGGTCCGCCACCGATTATATTATACAATATGCATGGCGCCTCTCACGATCCGTCGTGATCTTCCTTTAAGGCATGCACCGAGAATGGATCTTTTGCAGAAAATAATTAAATTATTATATTGACCAGTACGTACGTAAAAGCTAGGAGAAAAGGAACTTGTGGCTCACTCACAAGCCTGAACTCGCGCGAAACCGACACAACCTTACCCCAGATCGAAATTATTATTTATGAAAAAGTAGTGATATATTACAATATAATTATCCAAGATTTTATTTCGCCATTGCCCATTGCTTAAAAAGTTATAAACCTTTCAAAAAGCTCCATTTCATTTAATAAAGCTAGTGTGAGATGCAATAAATGAAGATTCGAGTTGAATTGGTCATGCTTCCGAACTGAAAAACTCTTTAACATTCAAGTATATACGTAGTATATATCACCATAATAATATATTATTCCTGCCAAAAAAAATTTATCAAATTGTTTTTTCTTGATCCTAGACAATATCATTTGGGCAAACCTTTTGCGAGGGACTGAAACGAAATTCTTTTTATGCTCATAATCAAGATCACCAGTTGATAGCTTATGTTGCGGGTGTTAAAATTTAAAATTTCACTATTTATATACTACGTGTATATATATATATATATGTGTGTGTATGTGTGTATATATATGTGTGTGTGTGATGTTTCAAATAAAAAGTGGTCTTAACGTTCAAAGTGCAAAATTTGCACTTTTTCATGTTTTGCTTGCACTTTTTCTTGCTTTCGTTGCACTTTTTGCGGTAGCTCAAAAAATTGGTTTATTTACAAAACTGACACCGTCATTTTGGACGAATTTGGACAAAATCAAAATGGTCAAAAAGTGTAACACAAAGAAGAAAAATTGCAAACGAAACATGAAAAAATAAAAATTTTGCACTTTGAACAGGAAAAATTGAGACCGACGCACCCTCCGACCTCTCTGAGAATCGGCTTTATGAGTAGCGTACAAATCTTACGTCACTGAAGTGTCGGCATGGCCTTCATTGCGTTATCAACAATCTACGTATAACATACGTAGTATGATTTATATATTATTCCCCGGAGAAAATGACCTCAAATATCACCGCAAAAAAATGACCTCAAATATCAGGGAATATGACCGATGTAATTTTTTCTAATTCAAAAATTCGTTTTCTAAAAAAGTTAGAGTAGGTTAGACGATTTTGATTGACAAAATTCTCTAAGTCTTGTCTAATGGATGACGGTTGGGACTAGTCTTTTTATCTGTTCGTTCTCAATCTGAATGTTGTCCTATCAATTTAAGTCAGCCTCTTCCAAAATAAAGTATGATGTGTACCCAAAAGTCAAAATATTCAAGAAGACCCACATCAAATAGATAAAAAATTTAAATCGAATGTGAATTTTTTTTTACCCGATTAGCCATATGGCATACTCTAGCAATCGGCAGTTCGAGTTTCAAGAATGGGGGCCTTCGAGGATTTCTTCATTTGTCCGATTGGTCTTTCAGTGGTGCACATTTTTTTTCCCAAATTACCCAAATTCGGGCTGGGGCTGCTTGGTTATAGGGGGCAACCACCTTTTTTAATTGGGGGCATATATTAATCCTTTTAAAATTGGGGGCAAATTCGGGCTGGGGCTGGGTCTGGTAGGATTTTATTGGGGGCAACTGCCCCCCATAGTGCCTTATTACATCCGCCCTGATTATTCCCCGGAGAAAATGACCTCAAATATCAGGGAATATGATCGATGTAATTTTTTCTAATTCAAAAATCTGTTTTCTAAAAAAGTTAGAGTAGGTTAGACGATTTTGATTGACAAAATTCACTAAACAAATAAGACTATAATAAGGAAATAGTACTATCATTATTTTATTTTTAAAATAATACCCACTCACTCCCATTTTACAAAGTTTAAATTGACATGCATATATTTCTCGAGAGAACTCTAAATAGGACTAAAGGAAACTTTAATTGCCCAAACAGGATCCTAACATAAAAATTCCCTAATAATAGAAACTTTCTTTCATTAATAATTAAATTATAAAGTAATAAACATAACTTTATTTATAATAAAAATGAAAAATAATAAAAAATATAAAATAAAAAATGATTTAAAATTAATTAAAAGTAAAAAAAATTGTAAAATAAAATTTATAAAATAAAACACTTAAAAAATAATGTAAAAAATATAAATAAAATATGCAGGCCTATGCTGCCGCCTCAGCAACCTCCCGACACCACCGGCTCTGATCACCTGAAAAAATGCCAACATGTGTCAGAAATGCTTCTTGATGGCAGTTTTCAAGAAAAATTTAGCATTTCCAAGAGTAAAAACGCCATCTTTATAACATTTTTCATAGAAAAAATGGCATTTTTATACATAAAATGACATTTTTTAGCTGACAAAGATAAAGTTGTTGGGCAGTAGCCAAAATTGTGGGAAAGGCCTCCATATATTTTTTTTTAATTTTTAAATTTTAGATTTTTTTTTATATTTTTTACGATTTTTTGTATAAGTTAAATTGTTTTTTATTAATTTTTGTATTTATTACAAATTAAAATATGATTATCCTATTGAGTTGTGGTAAGAGTAGAATAGGAAGATAGAGTATACTTTAGTCCTATTTGGAGAAGATAAATAACATTCCTATTTGTGCATTTGAGGATTATATTAATCCTATTTAGGACTATTTAGGAATATAGTATTTGGGGAAGAAAATGTACCCTGCTTCCTCCTATTTAACTTAGAACTTTGTGGTCTTTCATTCCCATGCATATTGAGCAATTATATTGTTTTCCTTCGTTAAAGCAGACTAGCTATATGTTATATGAATATCGATCTTCTACTTGGTACAAGCACTACTACTTGCAAAGTCATCTTTACCAACATGCCACACATTTTACTTGTCATCAATATACTTAGTTGTGCGTGAGATTAAAACAAGGAAAAATTTATTTTCAGGTTCATTTTGTAAGAATGTTACTACCTCCGTCCCGAAATAATCGTCCTGGTTTGACCTTCACACATATTAAGAAAGTGAAGTTGACTTCACAATGTAGCGACACTGTTTGGCACTGTAGCGACACTGTTTGGCACTTAGCGATACTGTTTGGCTCTGTTTTGCACTGTTTGACACTGTTTTGTATAGATTTGTTTACCAAATAAGGAGAGGAGACAATTATTTCGGGACGGATCGAAAAGGAAAGCAGGACAATTATTTCGGGACGTAGGGAATATTATGTAAATTTTGGGTGTTATTGGTTTTAAAAAAAGTTAATATGTGTATTCGTCAGTATCCAAAATATAAAAATAATTACCCAAAAATTAGAAACTTTTAATAAATTATGGATACGGCCCGAAAACATTTGGTACATGTATCCGGCCTAGAGTATTTGATACG